ATAAACTAGATAGATGACTGCTTGAGTGACTCCACATTTCCTTTCCCACACCCTGATTCCCACTCTAATGCTTTAAAATTCACCATAAAATGTAAATCCATGAAAACCTGGATACACCTCACCCCAACATAGCAGAACCCCAGTTTAGTTTCACTATGTTACCTCACTCTATGGCCCCACGCATACCAGGCATCCTCTGAAGTCTGTGAATAATTAATCTTGCTTTTTCAATGTTTCCTGTTGGTTGTTGCTGTGGTATACCTTGCAGTCCTAAATAGAACCTCAAGGGCCAGTCCAACCACAACACTGCTCTAATTAGAGAAATGATGAGGGCGCACCACAAGTTTGTGTTGTTGGAAAAGACACTTTGCATTTTTTGCTTGAAAAAGCATAGGAAAAATATGTCATGACTTTTCTGACATCCCAGTTGAGCACAGATGTGAGTGCCCCCAAGCATTCCTAGATGATAGCACCACTATTGATAGGCTGAGACGGACATGAAACAGGGTCCTAAATTAATGACTGGAGTCTTTATAAGAAGAGGAAATGCCATGTTAATACATTAACACATGGGGAGAATACTATGTGGTCATCGAGGCAGAGATTGGAGTGATATAGCTACAAGCCAAGGTATGCCAAGGGGTGATAGCCACCAGCAGATCCTAGGACTTGGAAGGAAGATGCACCCCTAAATGTTTCAAAGGGAACATGGTCCTCCCAAAGCTTTGATTTTAGCCTCTAGAATGGTGAGATAATAATTTTCTTTTATGTTAAGCCAACCACTTTGCAGTACTTTGTTACAGAGTCAGCCCTAGGAAACTAAAACAATTTCTGCTCTTTTAAATTTATTAATATGCATTTTATGACACAGGATGTGACCTCTCTTGGTGAATGTTTCTTCTGACTTTCAGAAAAATGCATATTCTGCTGTTGTTGTATGGAGTATTCTCTAAATGTCAATTACTTCAATTTGATTGATAGTGCTGCTCAGGGCAATTATATCTTTACTGATTTTCTGCCTGCTTGAACTATCAATTACTGAAAGAGGGGTGATAAAGTCCCCAAATATAATAGTGGATTTCTCTATATCTCTTTGTAGGCCTATTAGTTTTGCCTCATGTACTTCAAGGTCCAGCTTTTAGGTGTATACACGTTAAGGATTGTTATGTCTCCTCTTTGTCCCTGATTATTTCCCTTGTCTGAATTTAGCTTCATTTGAAATTAAAATAGCTATTCTGACTTTTTTAGTTATTAGCATTAGTTTAGTGTATCTTTCTCCATCCCTCCATCCTTTCACCATTGTTTTAATGTCTTCACAATTTGATTGATATATATTTTTTAAAGATTTATTTATTTATATAAGAACTGGGGTACAGGTCAATGGCACGGGAGGGTGAGAGAATTCACCAGAGAGAGTGGGGAGCAGAACAGGCAGACGGACCAAAGACACTGCTGAGGAGAGCAGTGGGTGTGGCAGGAGAGGTCTGCCACGCCATGTGGGTTTCTCCCTGGCAGGCCGGGAACTGAACCTGCGCTGCAGAGGCTGCGGACAGCTTCACAGCTCAGTGCTTAATCCGCTGCGCCACCAGGGAGGCCCTTGATTGATATATTTTATATACCTACCATTCACCATATAAAGCGTATTATTCATTGGCTTTGAGTATAGCCATAGAATTGTCTGATCATCATCACAATCAAATTTAGAACATTTTTTGTAACCCTCTCCAAAAACATTGCAACCCCTTAGTCAATCTCCCAGCATCTGCAAGGCCTGGGCAACCACTAACCTACTTTTTGTCTCTATAGATTATGCCTATTCTGGATATTTCATGTAATATATGGTCATATTGGAATGGCATTAGATAATATGTGTTCTTTGTGAATTACTTCCTTCATGTAGCTTTATTTAAAAAGGCTCATTTGTATTTTAGTATGTATCAGCATTTTATTCCCTTTTTGATGCTGAATAACATTCCTGTGTGTGAATATACTTTAATGTCTATGATCATTTGGGTTATTTTCACTTTCTGGCTATTCTAAGTAATGCTGTGTAGGGGCAGGAAGGGCACAGAGCAGGATCTCTATTATCTGAGCAGAGGGGTAAAGGAGGAGTCCTGGAGCCTTCGGTGGATTTTCAGGCTTTTATTAGGCTTTTACTTGTAGTGTGGCAACCAGGTACATGGCAGGCAGGCTGCCTACAGGCCAGGAGGCTGGCAGGCCTCCAACCCCCGCAAATCTTCACTCTTTTCTGGCCTCTCTGGCGTTCTGTCATGGTCCCGTTTTCTCTCTCTTACTTCTCTTTCATTCTTCTGGTTCCCCATGATGCCGCCCTTATAAGCCCAGTCTCAACCCAGGTGTCCACACCTATGTATGTCCACACCCCACTGCAGGTGCCCACCATTAGGTATGCATGTAGGACCACTGGGATCCATGATTAATCCTACTGGTGGGAGGGCAGAAAAGCCTGATAATCACTTACGCTGCAGGCTGCTATAAGTATTTGTGCACGACTTTTTGTGTGGGTATAAGTTTTCATTTCTCTTTGGTATACCTAGTAGTTGGTTGCTGGATTGTATAGTAACTCTGTGTATAAACTGTTGAAAAATTACCAGACTGTTTGCCACAGTGGCTGTACAATTTTATATCGCTACCAACATTGTACAAGGGTTTGGATTTCTCCACAGCTTCATAACACTTGCTATTGTCCATCTTTTTTATTACAGTAATCCTAGTGGATATGACTTGGCATCTCATTGTGGTTTTGATTTGCATTTCCCTGAAGACCAGTTGATTTTTGAGTTGTATGTTGTTTCATTTTTTGAGTTTTATTAGTTCTGTGTGTATTTAGACACAAGTCTCTTATGAAATATAAGATTTTTGCAAAATTTTCCTCTATGTGGTCTGCCTTTTCATCTTATGGAATCTTTTGAAACAAAACAGTTTTAATTTTTATTGTATCATTTATTGACTTAAAAGGACTTTTAAGTTTTAGCTCTCTGGGCTAAGTCTTTGGTTTGCTTTGAGTTAATTTTTGTACATAAGATAAGGGTGTTGTAGGGAGAAGATCAGGGAGAAGTCCATGCCCACGTAGGATTTGGTGTATTTGTTTTTTGTTTTTTATACCCTATTTTTCCAGGCTTATTCTGACCTGGGGATTTGGTTCTTGCTGGTGTTATCAATTGGAATATCAGGTTTTCAGCTAGCTTCTGCCTTTAGGCGATGTCTGGGTTCTGTGTGCCTTGTTTCCACATTCTCTGGAAGTCTGATAGCTCTAAGTCATGTAGACCCAGGGTCTGGCTCCCTTGGTTTTATCACAGTCCCTTCCTTATCTACTTTATGTCTCCCAGCAGTGTTCTGCTGAGCAAAATGCAGTGACTATATTTTATTTTTATCAAAGGTACCCAACAAAGGAGATGCTTCTTTTACAAGAGGAAATCTAGTTATCCTAGTTCCATTTGTTGAAGTGACTATTTTCTCATAAATGGTCTTAGCACCTTTGCTGAAGATCAGTTGACCTTATATGTAAAAGTTTATTTCTGAACTCTCAAATTTTATGAAAACAATTTGAAATTTTTGACTGTGTTCCAGGCATAATCCTAAGCACATATGCATTTATTCCTTATATTAACTTTATGAGACGGGCATTACTCTCACCTCCATTTCACCGATGTAGTAGTCTAGCCACAGAGTGATTTGCCCAAGATCACATAGCTATAATAGTAGGTAAGTGCACACAGGCCTTGCCCTTCTGCAGACTGACTTGAGAGGCTAAGCGCTTGACCATGTGCGGGTAAGGTAAAAAGTATCAGGCTTTTCTGCCCTCCGCCATTAGGATAGATGATGGATCCTTGTGGTCCCGAATGCATGCCTGATGGCGGGCACCTGGAACAGGGTGTGGGCATAGGTAGATGGGCTAAGACTGGGCTTTTTAAGGATGGCGTCATGGGGACACCAGCAGAAGCCGAGAAAGAAGCAGAGGAATAGAGAAGCCAAGAACAAAGGGAAGCCGAGAGAAGAGAAGCAGAGAGAATGCCAGAGAGCCCAGACAGAGTGAGGATTTGCTGGGGCTGGGAGGCCTGCCAGCCTCCCTGCCCCCCAGCACCCCTGCCTGCCATATGCCTGGTAAATCTAAATAAAAGACCTGCAAAAGTCACTGAGGGCTCCAGGACTCCACCTTTACCCGGTCTGCTGGATCATAAAAAACCTGCACTGTGGTCTTCCTGCCTCTACACCATGCTGTAAATAAATGTAAGAAATCGGAACTTGGAATCCTACTGAATAGTAAATTTTAAAAACGGTGGAGTGGGATGGATCACTAAATTTGGAAAAGCACAACAGAGTTGGGGCTTGTAGTGTCAGGAAGGCATAGAGCTGGTTCTCTTTGATCTGAGCAGATGGGTGAAGGAGGAGTCCTGGAGCCCTTGGTGGCTTTTCAGGTTTTTGTTGAGTTTACCCAGTTCACGGCAGGCAGGGGTTGGGAGGTGAGCGGGCTGTCCAGCCCCCGCGAATCTTCACTCTTTCTGGGCTCTCCGGCATTCTCTCCTGGTCTCGCTCTTTGACTTGTTCTGGTCTGTTCTGGTCTCTCTTTCTCTCTGATCGCATCCCCGTGACACCGCCCTTATGGGCCCGTCTCAGCACAGGTGTATCCACTCATGCATGCCCACACCCTCCTCCAGGTGCCCGCCATCAGGCATGCATTGAGGACCGCAGGGATCCATCATCAATTCTCATGGCGGGAGGGCAGAAAAGCCTGACAATTATTTCATTTACCCTCCAGGGCTTGACTAGCTTGCCTCCTAACGAGTATTAGAAATGAACCTGCCTTTCTTGGTTGAAAGCCCTCCAAACCTCCTCTTAATCACCTTTAAGTCGACGCACCTCATTGGCTGCTTGGGTTGCTCTGGCAGTGCCTGGGCCGCGGACCTCTGCTGCGCCCACTTCCAGCCGGCACCTTAAAACCACCCTCCGCCTGGAGCGCCGAAGGGGATCCAGGTACAGCCCCAGACTGGAGAGCACCTGAGATGCAGGAAGTCTCGCGAGAAGTTGCGTCGTTGCCCCGGTAACAGCGTCGCATTACAAAAGATGGCGGGGAGAAGCTACAGACTCAGGGTTAGCTCCTCCCCAGACGCCTAGTGGGCCGCTAGGTTACCGGGACGCTGGACTTCGTGTCTGAAAGTATGTCCCTTTCGCAGAGACGGAGCGTTTCGGGGACCCCGCCCCAGCCACGCGTTCAGCAGCCTGCGGTGCGTCGACGGGACCTCCTCGCCCAGGAGGAGGAATATAAGTAAGAAAGTCGGCAGTTCAGCCTTTTTCTTTTTTCTTTCACCCACATAAGGCTGCTTATAAGTACTTTTCCTGGTCCCTGGACTTCTGTACCCTCATATTCTGCACTCCCCTCTCCCCTTTTTTCTTTCCCTTGAGTTCACCTGTGTCCTCCAAGGGCGAAATTTAATCCTAGTAAATATGTTTGCAAGATGCTACTAGGAGCTAGAAGGTTTTGGGTAGCAGAAATACCATGACTAGTTCAGTTTTTAGTTTCAGTGATTTTACTTAATTTCAAGTTCCTAGAGTTGCAGATGTAAATTTCTTAGAGGCTGGTTTTTCTGAATTTCTTAGTGCACATTTGGAATTGCCGTCTTTATCCACGTTTGGTGGAGGTAAGGAGGCTTACCTTACCTGCTCTCAGTGTAATTACACTTATCCTGAGCACACCTGCTTTCATTCTCAGAGCATTCCACTCTTCATTCCCCAGTTTTCACACGCCAGAGTAATATTTTTAATTTGATCAAGTCACTACTACTTTGCTTAAAATTTCCTGTGGTTTCCTGTTGCACTTCAAAAATTTGTCAGTCCTGGCCTCTGCCTCTTGTTTGATCCTGTACCTTCTCCTTTTTGCCTCTTGGCCTCCAGTCTCAGCGACCTTTTAGTTCCTGTCTTTCCTTGAATGCAGTCACACAAGTCATCTACCTGTAATGACAAAGTAGTCTTCCTTGACATGCTAAGTAGGCTCCTGGTTATTTTATTGTCTTAACTTTTCTTTGGAATTAGTATACTTTGTTACAACATATTCATTTGTTAGCTTAAGTATTGTCTATTTCTTCCAATGCACAATAAGTTCACAAGATTGGAGACCCTACCTTTTATTTGCCATTGTATATAGTTTTACTTCCCAAAAATTATGTTTTAACAAGTCTTTTTAAAGTAGCTAATTTAGAAATTGCAAAACATCCTGGCAATTCCTCAAATACAGAGTTAGCATATGATACGTATTTAAAATTAAAGCACAGTTAAAGTTAAAATTGAAGTGTGCTGACTTTAGCATTTAGGACCTAGACACGTAGGACCATAATCAGCCTCCCTTTGATGAAATAGGCCCACTCTTCCAGTTTGAGAGTGCACTTAAAACAGTTTGTTGGGCCCCCCTGGTGGTGCAAGGAGTTAAGACTGCAGCACTATGAGGTTACCCACAGCCACTGCAGCATGAGTTGGATCCCTAGCCAGGTTGGTGACCCACATGGGGCAGCAGACCTCTCCTGTCTTGCCCACTGCTGCCCTCAGCAGTGTATTTCAGTCATCCTGCCTGTTCTGCTCCCCACTCTGTCTCTGGTGAATCCTCTCACCCCCACACCTCTGGCGGGTATCCCAGTTCTTGTATGCATAAATAAGTCTTAAAAAAAAAAGTTTGTTGTCCACATACAGTTGAGTCAGCTGTGCTTAATACAAAGTAGTTATTTTCATTACCATCACCAGATAGCACTAAATAACTGCATTGATTGAGTTAATTAGTTTAGATCTTCAAGGGTGTATTTTTCACCTGGATCTGCTGTGTGGCGAGGAATATGGTCCTGCTTAAAAGTCAGCTACAGGAGCTTTTCTGTTGTAGCAGAAGTTGTTTTGTGGCAAAGGTGCCTAGTTGTTACTTACTCTGTTATCTGTACTGTGAGTGTGCAAATCTGCTTTGTATGAAGCTGGTTGTTCACCATGCAGAAGTTTCTCACAGGCAAGAATAAGTTTATTAGACTATTTTGCCACGTATATTGGTATTAAGCATTTTGGGGTGTCTTTTCAATCTTCAGAACATAATACTTTTCTGCAACCTCAGTCCAGAATCTCGTACAATCAGTTCATGTCAAATAAGTGAAAGAAATATAATCACTGAGAAGACTAAGGAATATGCTTATCATTCCAGTCAATAGATTTTTCAAGCTTTATGCCTGTTATATAACCAGAGAACTAAATAATAAAGATTATGTGACATGTTTTAATTGGTCTTGATAACTGGTAGGAAAAACCTCTCCTGCCCTCTGCCAGCCCTGCCAATCATCTTGGATTTATATAATAATTTGCAGAGAACTGATCTCTTTATGCTATTGAATCTTCCTTTCCACTAATAGGGTTTTAGCGCAGAGTGGCACAGTGCAGGTTTCTGTGACCCAAGCAGACGAGTAAAGGAGCGTTCTGGAGCCCTCGGTGGCTTTTGCAGGCTTTTATTGGGATTTACCAGGTACACGGCAGGCTGGGACGCTGGGAGGCTGGCAGGCCTCCCAGCCCCCAGCAAGTCTTGACTCTTCCTGGGTTCTCTTTCTTCTTCTGGTGGTTCTGTTCATCGGCATCCCGTGACGCTGCCCTTATGAGCCCAGTCTCTCAGCCCAGGTGAAACCACCTACGTATGCCCACCTGCCTGATGGCAGGTGTCCGCCATCAGGCATGCATTTAATCTAATGGTGGGAGGGTGGAAAAGCCTGATACTTTACTTACCCTACAATGGTACATGTCCATTTTTGGTGTCCTTCGTCAGAAATTTTGCATATTATGTAAATTTTTCTTGCTATAATGAAATGACTTTTTTCCTCCTACATTTTCTAATTGGTTATTGGTTAGATGTGTAGGCACACCATTGATTTTTGTGTGTTGACCCTACACCTTTATATAGATCCAAGTGATCGGTTAATAGAACTCTTTTTCATTCATTATAGAGGCCTTGGCCTTTGATTAAGGCAGATAGATATGAATTTTAAGTTTTGTCCCTTTATATTTTGTGATGCATTATTTATTTGGAATCTGGTTAGTATCCTAGTACAATATGAACAGAAAAAGTGATGGTGATTGTCTTTATCTTGGTTATGATTTTATGGAATCTGCTTTTAATAATTACATTTGAGGTTTGCCATATAGTTTTGGTAGATTCCTTTTATCAGGTTTAAGGATGTTATTTCCCATTCCTATTTTGTATGAAGGTTGTCTTACCAAAACTCCCCCGCCAAAATTAATTAGTTGATAAAATGGTTTTATGTACCCCTTGTTTAATGTTCTAACACACAAGTACATATCTTGTATATCTTTATAGACCATTTGATTTGATTGCTTTATGTGTCTTTAACAAGAGTAAGATCAATCTTACATTTTTTTCTAGTGTTTTTCCTTGTAATAACAACAGTGTTCTCTAACCACACTAAATAAGCTGTCCTTTGATTAAAATGGTGAAACTGAGTCTGATGTGGCTTTTTGTTGAGGGAGTTATTTTCAATTTCTTTAATGATTACTATTTCCAGGATAAATTTGGTTAGTTGATAGTTTTTCTAGCTCCTTTGTTCATTGCAGCACTATTTATAATAGCCACGTTATAGGAACAACCTAAATGTCCAGGGACCCGGGGACAGATGAGTAGATTAAAATGGTGTGTTTATATACAATGGAATACTACTCAACTATAGGGGGGAAAAAAAAGGGAACTCTTGCCATTTGTGACAACATGGATGGAACTGGAGAGGATAATGCTAAATGAAGTAAGTCAGAAGGAGAAAGACAAATACTGGATTGTGTCACTTTTAAGTGAAATACAGAGAAACAAAACCAAACCTGACTGTAGACTTGAGCTACAAGATGGGGAGGAGGAGAGGGATAAAGTGTGGAGGTTTTGGTCACAGTGGCTTATGGTAAAGCCACTTACGGGTGGTGGGTGTTGTGCGGTGACATGCATCCTAGGAAATATGGTCCTATGCCTCTAAATAATATGCAATATTATACACCAATTTTACCTCAAGGCAACTTGAAAAATTTTCATTTGTCTTTATTCTTCCTATCTTCTATTTGTGGTGGATTTTTTTTAGTTTCATTTTTAATTTTATTTTTACAAAAACCATTAATTTTTATGAAGTTCTCTCCAGTTACAGCTTATCTATATTTCAGGGCCTGTTTTGATATATATATATATATATATATATATATATATATATATATATTTATTTATTCTTTTGTAATTTTGTTTTAAATAGTTTGATTTTCATAGTGAATATTTAGGAATTTTGCTTTTAATTGTGAAGCATATGTTTCATTTTTATTTTTAAATTTATTGAACAGCGATCAAAGAATATGGTATTGATTTTTAAAATGTATTAAAATTATTTGTGAGTAGGTAAATGGTCAATTTTTGTAAATATCCTTCGTGCTCTGTGATAGAAATAAACGCTTTTTGGTGACTAATCTGTTAGATTAAGCTAGTTAATTGTGTTCTCTGAGTCTTAAATTTTCCAGTCTTTTCTGAAAATTTTGTTACTTTGCATTTCAGAGATAGTTCAGTGAACATAGAATTGTAGATGATCAGTGTTTTCTCCTACAGTCTATTAAAGTACCATTTCATATCCATTGGACTCTAGCAATGCTGATATGCCATCTCCTATTAGCTTTTAGATAATAATACTATAAGGATGTTTTCTGTTTTTTACATAATTGCTTTGATAATTTAAATACTATTTGTCATTGAAGTTCTGCAGTTTCACTGTTGATGTGTACAGGTGTGTGGATTTGTTTTTCTAATTGTGCTTGAGATCCATATGTCCAGTTTTGGAAAGGTCTCATAATAATTATCTCTTCATAGTTTGACATTTTCTTATTCTAGTTCCTTCTGCACTTTATGTTTTAGGTAGATATGCATGTGTTTTTATCATACATTCTGCTTTTTTATATTTTTCCCCTTTTATCTGTAACACTCATAGGTGATATTTGCATATCTGTCTTCTAATTCATTCCCTTTCAGTTCATTCTATTCAATTTATTCACTGAATTTGAGCGTTTAATTTCAGTGACTTTTCATTTTTGTAATTTCTATTTGTTCTTTAACAAATTCAGTGTTCTTTTGTAATAATGTCTGATTCTTGCCTAATGTTTTCTATTTTTGCTGCCTGCCCCATGCCCAAAGTAAAATTTTGCTTTACTATCTCCACATTTTATGGTACAGAGTTGTTGTCTCTGCTGATTTTCCATGTTGATGACTTGTTTATGAATTTGTTACATTTGTAAAGTCATCCTTAGTGGGATTTGCTTTCTTAGAGACTTCCATGTGTTCTAGAAGAGTAAATGTCCATTAGGGTGGTGGTTTTGCATTTAATTTTTCTAGTTTATCAGAGTTTTCACTGCTTCCTGGGAACTTTCTATCTTAGAGTTTTCACATAGGGTCTCTGCACCATCCAGGTAAGGTGAACTTGGGCTGCTGTCCTGCGTGCTCTGATTACTCACAAGTGAACAGTTTCCACCCATGGCTCTAGTTTGATTTCCCGTCACCTAAGGTTATGGGTAGGGTGTAGGCAGTCTGTTTCGCAGGTGTAGCCCTTCATGACTCCCACATGTGCATCAGTTTCTAACTGGTAAGCTGTTTTGGCTCCTGTTCTGTTTACTGCTCATTTTGAATGCTGTTTTATTTTTAGTGCCAGGGTATTTCCCTTGCCTGAGCTTGAGCTTAGTAATATTTCCTTCATTCCAATTTATTCAACATTTCCATGGGTTTAGAGGATAATAGACTTGTGAGTCATCCCAGTCTACTGTATTACCAGAAGCTTATATTTAGGTTTTCATGATTCTTGTTAGAGAAATGTGAAAAATCAGGTAGTAGCATTTTAAATGCAACTTTGTCTTATTAGATATTTATGAATTCCTCCTAAGATATAAAATTATTTCTTAAAACATTAGGCTGGGGGCCTCCCCGTTGCGCAGCAGTTGAGCACTGGGTTGTGAAGCTGCCCGCAGCCTCGGCAGTGCCGGTTCCATCCCTGGCCACCGGCGAGGGTCCCACATGACATGCAGACCTCTCCAGCCACCCGCTGTTCCCCCAGCAGTGTACTTCATCAGTCTGTCTGTTCTTCTCCCTGCTCTGGCTCTGGTGAATTCTCACCCTCCCACACTTCTTTTTTTTTTTTTTTTTTTTTTTTTTTTTTTTATTTATTTATTTTTTATTTTTTTATAAAAGGTTTATTTACAAGGGAAAGGGAAATGAGGAAATGTACAGCTCAGGGAGAAAAGTGGGAGACGAAGTTTTAAATGAGTCCTACCTATCAGCCGATCTGGAATCCAAATGGCACTCTGAGAGCTGGCGCGAGCCAGGAGCCGTGAAGCCAGGAGGCGAGCGATAGTGAGCCCCCAAGGCCACATGTTTGGTTTTATACCCAACCTGGCTACTTAACTCCACCCTCAGGTCCAGCCACCTTCCCTTTGGTGGTGATGTCACCCTCCCACACTTCTGACTGTACCCAGTGCTTGTATAAATAAATAAATCAATCTTAAAAAAAAAAATAGGCTGTTTCAAGAAGGGATATGGTACTGTTGTCTTTTTTTTCTTCTGGAAGTGGGACTTGTCATTTCTGAATTATATCTATGAAAAACAACAAAGATAATCTCAATTTTAAAATTGCTCAAAATACTTCCTTCAGATAACTTAAAAAAAGCCTAAATGTGACCTGTAAATAGAATATGTAAATGTGACCTTCAAAATGTGACCTGTAATAGAATAAAAAAACATGCTTTTGAAATGTTTATTAGTCTTAGCCTTTAAAAGTAGAAAAGGGGCTTTAACAATAGGAACAGTTCAGTACATTATGTTAATTACAACTCATTAGAATATTGGTAAATTAGCAATTTAAAGCACTAGTTATAAAGATTTTGAGATAAACAGATTCTGTATTACTAGGGGAAAACAGTAGAAATTGTATATACCCTATAATGAAAATTAGAAGGTAATGTAGAAGTAAAAATGATTGCATGATGTGGTAGGATTTTGACCAGTTTTTCCTTTGAAACAGTTTTCTTCAATGGTACTGCCATTCTTGTGGTCTTTTTAGCATTATTATTACTATTATTATTAAACAGACTGAGTACGTGGAACTGATGATGGGCAAGATTGAAAATGCGTGAAGTACATATAATACCAAACATTAAGAAAATAAGTGTTATTATTGTAAATACCAGTCTGAGGTTAAGATACTTCATCAAAATTATGAAGTAAAATGTATAACCATATTTCAAATTCAAACAGGTTTGTCTGTTACCAGAACTCTTGGTTTTTTTTTTTAATACTTTCATTAATTTATTATAATAGGGTAACTACTAACACTGGCTTTTTTTGATTTATGCTGTTTGTATTTTAGAAGTATACAACACCTCCCTTCTAGTGCTGTTACCATAATGCTCACAGGACCAAAGTACCCACAGTCCACCACCATAGCCCATGATGCTCCCGCCCCACTTCTTTCCTTCCCGCCTTGAATGTCTCAGTTCTGCAGTCTGCTTAGACCTTATCTGACCCTTTGTTTGGTTTCTTATAGTCCACATATGCGACACCATCCGGTATTAGCCTTCTGCCGTCTGACTTGTTTCAGTTAGCATAATCCCAGCTCCATCCATGTTGCTGCATGTGGCATAAGTTTATTTTTTTTGATCACTGAGTAGTATTCCATTGTGAATATATAGCACATCTTGATCCACTGGTCTGCTTTGGGGTTCTTAGGTTGTTCCCATATCGTGGCTGCTGTAAATAGTGCTGCAGTGAACATAGTATTGCACGTTGCCCCTCAAATTCATTTATTTGTGTTCTTTGGGTAGATACTTATAGTAGAATTGCTGGGTCATGTGGTAGATCCATTTGTACTCTCTTGACAAATCTCCATATTGCTTTCCATTGGAGCTGAGCCCATCTTACCAACATTGTGAGTGTTCCTTTTTCTCTTCATCCTCACAGCACTTGGGGGTTTGGGTCTTTTTGATATGGGCCATTCTCACAGAAGTGAGATGATATCTCATTGCAGTTTTCATTTCCATTTCCCTAATGAGTGATGATGAGCATTTTTTCATATGCTTGTTGGCCATCTGTATGTCTTGTTTTGAAAACTGCCTATTTAGCTCTTATATCCATTTTTGATTAGGTTATTTTCTTTCTTTTTTTGAGATCTTTGATATTAGCCCCTTGTTAGATGTATGGTATACACATTTTTTTTCTCATTCACCTGGGTGTCTTTTTATCTTAGTTACAATTTCTTTTGCAATGCAGAAGCATTTTAATTTGACGTAGTCCCAGTTGTTTATGTTCTCTTTGTTTCCTTGCTGTTGGAGAAATATCTATGAAGGTATCATTGAAGGTTATGAAGTGTTTTGCTTATGTTTTCTTCTATGTGTTTTATGGTTTCAGATCTTACATCTTTATGTTTTATCAATATTGGTGTGGTGTGCAATATGGATCCAGCTTCATTCTTTTGCATATGGCTGTACAGTTTTCCCTACATCATTGATCAAAAAGACTTTTCTTGCTCCAATGTATGTTTTTGGTTCTGTTGTTGTAGATTGTCCATATAGGTGTGGATTTGTTTCTGGGGTCTCAGTTCTATTCCATTGGTCTGTTGGTATATTTACAACCTTAATGGACAAGTAGTATTTCTATTCCTTGCTACATTCCAAACAGACTGGGAGAATTTTTTGAAGAGTGACAGGTGAAGTTCAACATCATCATCTTTATTTCTGATGAAGCTGATATTGAAGTATGTACTGAGATATGTACCACATTAGGTGTGCTCACTAAACCACAGATTTATATCCCTCCTTGCAGCAGCATTTAGGCCAATCCAGGCCTTTCCTTCCCCATCTTGCCCCACTCATGATCCTAGTTAGAGTTGATCCCAGAAAATGGAGAGTGGAACTGTGTTGAACCCTTACTGATTATTCTACCCAAATAGGTCATTTCACCTGAAGTAAGGGCCAGAGAGAAGCCAAGAGTTACACTGTCTGAGAGTCTACCACAAAGGAGTCATGGAAATTGGAAAATGTCCTAATGTTTGTTAATTTTAGAATAAAAATGTCACATCTGTGTTTTGGCATTTGTTGCTTAATATATTTGCTAATGTGTCATTGCTGAAATTTAATTGTTTTTTTTGAGAATCTTCATATTCTAATAAATTATTTTCTGCTTTTAGGCGTTTAAATGCAGAATTGGAGGCAAAAACGGCTGATCTGGTTCGACAAGCTGAGGCAGTAATTGTAAGTAAATGTACAGTTTTAAGTAATGCCTTTTAAGTGCTAGCTTTTTAATGTTTTTGTATAGTCATTTATTTTTATTTTCTTACATCATTGTTCATTTTTGTACAGTAATAGGTTTCTCCCCTCAAATGTACTCCCCATAGTTTATCCACTACTGTATCGCCCATGAGCCATTGCCATAGTCCCTGTATTCTTTCCTGTTTTGACCCCCTTCCCGCCCCCTCTCTTGCTGTAGGCCTCAGATCTGTGATCAGCTTGCTAGTTTTGTCTTTTTCTTGACTTTTTGTTTGGTTTCTGTATATTCCATATGTAAGTGAGACTATCTGATACTTATCTTTTTCCTTCAGACTTATTTTGGCTAGCATAATCCCTTCCAGCTCCATCCATGTTGCGGCAAATGGCATGAGTTTGTCTTTTTTGATTGCTGAACAATATTCCACTGCGTAAATATGCCACGACTTTTTTTGATCTGTTCACCTATTTTGGGGCATTTGGGTTGTTTCCATTATCTCAGGCATTGTAAATTGTACTGCAATAAACATAGGAGTGCAGGTTTCCTTTCAAATTAGTTTTTTTGTGTACTTTGAGTAGATTCCTAGGAATGGAATGGCTGGAACTATGGCAGATCCATTTTTAGTGTTCTCAGGAACCTCCACATAGCTTTCTGTAGTGGCTGGACCAGTTTGCATTCCCAGTAGCAGTGTATGAGGGTTCCTTTATCTCCACATCCTCTCTAGCATTTGTTTCTAGCTTGCTTATGTGGTCCATTCTCACTAGCAAAGTGGTTTCTCATTGTGGTTTTCACTTGCATTTTCCTGGTTAATTTGTACTCTGGTGGGAGTTTGTTTCTTTTTTTTTTCCTCCTTTTTTATTTTATGTATTTTTTACATCATTTTTCATTTTTGCACAATGTGTGCATTTTCATCTTGGTATAGTCCCCATACAATTCCCACCCTGCTTATTTTGACCGTAATCTCTCCTATTCCCTCCCCCTCTCCACCCCCCCCCGCCTCATAGTGTGTCTCTGGTTTATAGTTGCTTGTTGATTTTGATTTTTATTATAATTAGTCTTTTTCCTGGTCCCTTATTTAGGTTTTCTAAATTCCTGCTATGAGTGAGATCATTGGTATTTTTCTTTTTCTTTCTGGCTTATTTCGCTGAGCATGATCCCTTCCAGCTCCATCCATGTTGCTGCAAATTGCATGAGTTTATCTTTTTTGACTGCTGAGTAATACTCCATTGTGTATATGTGGAGTTTGTTTTTTAAACTTTTCAGTGGGATATAACTCAAATTCTTAGAGCTAGACCATAATCAGATTTAAATTTAGGAAGAATGTAATGTAATTTCACTAGACTGCAGGCATTTTTGGCTTCATTTTGAGTACCAAATTGAAGGTTCCTACTTTAAGCACTCCTCTTTATGCATCAACATTCCCACTATTAATAAGATAAAGTAGCACTCCTTACAGGAATAGACTGCTTTCAAATCTTTCAGTTCTCACTCTAACTTAATCATAATCATTTTTTCAAATCCATCTCTCCCTGGTCATGTAGTATGGAGTTGATGGGGATAGGGAATAATAGGTAATATATTTTATTTTAATTCTGGAATGAGAAATATATATAACATTGCAACTAATACATTTAGATAATGGTTACTAGTTTGCTAACTTGCATTTGTAATTAGATATTTTTATTTGTCTCTTAGACCTTGCAAGTATCTGAAGAATAGGAAAATATTTGAACAAAGAAACCCAATGTTATGGTAGAATGAGGGATTCATTATGTATTGTGCTCAGAGTCCCCTAATAAGGACCTTTTCTTTTTTCAAACAAGAGTGTAGCATAAAACTGGGATGAGTTGGGAAAAGGGGAGAGTAAGTACATCCTATCCCCACAGAAACTAAAGGATATACCTTTTGCCTTGTTGAATTTTTGTTTACTCACTTTCACTTCTTGTTAGATCTTTGCCAGAACCTTTTACTCGTAAGTGCTTCATTTTCAGCATCTTTCTGGTCTTAACATTCAAGCTTTGTCTAACTTGAGAAAAGTTTTTCTACCCATTAAACAGATATATTTTCATTTCTTGTGAGTCTAATTTGTTTTGAATGTTACACAAGATGGGAGATTCTAATATAGGGAAGCAGGGGTCAGATAAGATCATAAGAAGACATTTATACACTTACATTTTTCCTGAGAATTGACTTTCTTAACCCAGAATGAATGAAATGTGGAACTACATTGTTATAGACTTTTGTTTTCATACCATAGGATGGAAACAGTTAAATATATTCTAGTTCTTTTTCTCTATATGTCTTCTTTATTCATTTTACTAGAGAGATCAGCAAGAGGTACACTCTAGGCCTACTTCAACACAAGTTAAATCATATGAAGATGATGATTACAGTTTAAGGTAAGTGACTTAATTTCTCAAACGCCATTTTTAAAATATACACACACACACACACACGCACATATATATATTTTACATCACTGTTTATCTTTTCTTGTCACTTGGGCTTTTGGAGCCATATCTAAGAATACAATGTTAAATCTAAAGTCATTGACATTTATCCATATGTTTTCATTTAAGGGGGTTTATAGTTTTAGCTTTTATATTTAGGTCTTAGAGTTAAGTTTTGTATCTAGTATAACATAGGCATGAACATTCTTCTGCATGTGGCTATCTTGTTGTCTGAACGCCATTTTTTGATAAAACCATTCTTTTCCCATTGAATGGTTTTGGTTCCCTTGACAGAAATCAGCAGGCCAGAGTCTTGATGACCCTTTATAGAGTTAGCCACAAATATTGTGAGATAAAATAGAGAAAGTGCTTTGACGAGCAAAGCCTATTAAAGAACAACCTCAAGACAAACACCAGACTTCAGGTGCATTCTTCACAATCACTGACCAAATGTTTCAATGACTTAAGGTTTTCAGGGCAAGAAGTGTCTGGAGGGCCTAGTGAATCTTTCCAATTTGACAAACTCATGCAATTTGCAGCAACATGGATAGCGCTGGAAGGGATCATGCTCAGCGAAATAAGCCAGAAGGAAAAAGAAAAATACTGGATGGTCTCACTCATAGCAGGAATTTGAAAACCTAAATAAGGGACCAGGAAAAAGACTAATTATAATAAAGTAAAAATCAAAATCAAGCAACTATAAATCAGACACACTACGTGGTGGCATGGTTGGGGGGGAGTAGGAGGGATACAGTCAAAATAAGGGGGGTGGGAATTGTATGGGGACTATAACCAAGATGAAAATGCATACATTGTGCAAAAATGAAAAATGATGTAAGAAATATATAAAATATTTTTAAGAAATCACTCATGGCAAAGACCTGACTAAAGGTATAGCCTCTCCACAGAAGCCTGAAACTCAGAGTAAACCATTTTTATTTTTAAAAGGTTGGGGGAATGGGGAGAAAGAAGGCGGAGGAAGGGACAGAAGTGTTCAGGGTAAAGAAATAGAATTCTAAAAAAGTCTAATTTGGGGAAGAACTATGGGTATGCTAATGATACTTAAAACTGACTATAATCTAGTCGGTAGGAAACTCAGTTTTTGAGGGTTGTACCAGCAAAGAAACCTTTAGAGTAATGGACTGAAACTTGAAATTGTGACTGTAAAAAATCTTAAAAGAACTATGTAGTCCTCTCAGTTTTCTAAGATGAAGAAGCAGGCTATGAGAGTTGCACAGCTCTACGAGAGTATGTTTTTGAACATACCTGAGGACTTAGGAACTTAAAAGAAAAAAGAAAAAGATGTGCTACTTAAGGGACAGCTTATTTGACTTAAAATGTTGGGACACTGTTCATTTTACCAAAAAATAACTTTTGCATATGATTCAGCAATTTTCTGTAGTTATTTACTCAAGAAACATGAAGTATGTTCAAGCAGAAACCTATATGCAAATGTTTACAAGAGCTTTATTCATAATTGCCAAAAAATTGAGACTAGCTCAAATATCCATCAAGGAGTAAATGGATGAGCAATTACGGTATATCCATGCAGAAGAATACTACTTGACAATAAAAAGCAATGAAATACTGATACAGCATCAAAATGAGTGCTATGTATAAGAAACAACACTTCTATATTATGCAATTCCATTTATTTGACATTCTGAAAAGGTAAAATTATATGGACAGAAATCAGATTAGTGGTGGAAGATAATTATAAAGGGCACCAGGAAACTTTTTGGGATGATGGAAATATTCTCTATCTTGTTTTTGCAGTGTTTACATTACCATTTAAGTTTTTCAAATTATAGAACTAGATACCAAAAAGAAAATATTTGCTACATGCAAATTATCTCAAGAAATCTAGAAAAAAGAATTTTGAACACCATTAGCTACTGGTGGTATATAGTGGTGAGTAAACAGACAGGTACTGCTCCAAGGAATTAATGCTTAGTGTGTTGCTTTTAATTTTTAAATAAAACAAATTCCATAAAAATGATTATCATTTTATTTGATATATACATATCTAATATGTGTGCATATACTATGCAATTATTTACTTTTATTATACGTAACACTGGTATTTTTGGGTAAGTGATTTAACAGCTTTACATAATCTAAATTGTAGAATTTGAATAAGATTAGGCTTAGCTTCTATCTAGTAAACTAAAATATAGAAATGATGGTAGCAACAGCTAATCCTAGATTCTGTTGAAGCGACAGACCAATTTCACAAGCATAAAAATAAATCTGTTGAAGACATACACACAATGGAATCGAATAGAAAATCCAGAAATAAACCCACAGATTTATGGTCAACTAATCTTGACAGGAGCAGAATATGCATTGGAGCAAAGAAAGTTTTCAATAAATGGTGCTGGAAACTGGTCGCTACATGCAAAAGAATGAAGCTTGACCACCACCTCACACCATACACAAAAATCAACTCAAAATGGATTAAAGAACTAGACATAAGACCTGAAACCATAAAATATATAGAAGGAAATATAGGCGAAACACTACGTGATATGCACATCAAAGACATCTTTACAGACACATCACCCAAAGCAGTGATAGTGAAGGCAAAGATAAACAGCTGGGACTACATCAAATTAAAGAGCTTTTGCACAGCAAAAGAGACAATAACAAAAACAAAGAGAAACCCCACCAACTGGGAGAACATTTTTGCACCCAACACTAATGATAAAGACTGATCACAAAAATCTGCAAAGAGCTGATGAGACTCACAACAACAAAGAAAATAATCCAGTCAAAAATGGCAGAAGAGCTAAAAAGAAACATCTCTGAAGAGGAAATGCAAATGGCCAACAGGCATATGAAAAATGTTCAACATCACTTGTCATCAGGGAAATGCAAATCAAAAACTACCATGAGATACCATCTTACACCAGTGAGAATGGCACATATTAAAAAACTAGCAACAACAAATGTTGGCGAGGGTGTGGAGAAAAGGAACTCTTCTGCACTGTTGGTGGGAGTGCAAACTGGCCAACCACTGTGGAAAGCTGTATGGAGATTTCTGGACCTACTAAACATAGAGCTTCCATATGATCCAGCAATTCCACTCCTAGGTATTTACCCAAAGGACACAGAAACATCAATTCCAAGAACACCTGCACCCCTATGTTTATAGCAGCACTGTTTACAATAGCTAAGCTTTGGAAACAACCCAAATGCCCAAAAATAGATGACTGGATCAAGAAGATGTGGTACATATATACCATGGAATATTACTCAGCATTCAAAAAGATAAACACATGCAATTTGCAGCAACATGGATGGCGCTGGAAGGGATCATGCTCAGCGAAATAAGCCAAAAAGAAAAGAAAAAATACCGGATGGTCTCACTCATAGCAGGAATCTAGAAAACTTAAATAAGGGACCAGGAAAATGAATAACTATAAGAAAGTGAAAATCAAAATCAACAAAAAACTATGAACAGAGACACTTTTAGGGGGGCGGGGGTGGAGGGGAGGGATTGGGGTCAGAATGGGGGGCTGCAATTGTATGGGGAATATAACAATAAATTTATTTAAAAAGGGCCTCCCCGGTGGCGCAGAGGTTGAGCGCTGGGTTGCGAAGCTGCCTGCAGCCTCCGCGGCGCAGGTTCGATCCCCGGCTGCTCCCCGGCCACCAGAGGAGGGTCCCGCATGGCGTGCAGACCTCTCCTGCCGCCCGCTGCTCCCCTCAGCAGTGTATTTCGTCAGTCTGCCTGCTCTGCTCCCCGCTCTGGCTCTGGTGAATTCTCTCACCTTCCGCGCTTCTGACTGTACCCAGTGCATGTATAACAAAGCAAGCAAACAAACAAACAAATAAATAAAAACATGCCTCTATAAAAAAAAAAAAAAAAAATTTATTTAAAAAAATAAATAATAAATAAATCTGTTGATTTTCTTCATTTACTAAATTTTTCGTAGGTGTAAAGTGGTGACACTTTTCTTTACCTAGGTCAGGTGTCTTTTTTTAAATGCCACTGTTTAAACAGATGGCTTTTATCATGTGAAAGATGATAGCTTGGCTCTTAACTTGGGAACTGTTGAAAGATAGTTCTGTAAAGAGAATCATTTAACTTAGAACAGTGATAATTCACCTAAATGATTACAGTTAGGCAGTAATATGTTGTTATAGGTGTCCAACATCCATGTTCTCTGCCAAACAATATGGTAGGGGAGCCAGAACTTAAATTTCTCAATTGTCTTGCATACTTATCCTTCAGCCTGCTAAAAGCGAGGTTTACGACACAAATCATTTCCGTCTTACTGCATTCAAACCTTTTATGGAGAAGTTTTAAAAAAGGTCAGAGTACTATGTTTAAGTTCATTACTTTGGGGAATAATATCGCTCTGCCAAACCTGAGGGAGACAGATGACCGTTAAATGTGTTTCACTAATATGCATGAGTATGTGGCAAGTCGAGGGGAAATGAAAGGTACAAAATGTAAGGATATGACAAATATTATTTTGAAATGAAGGTGATCAAGAGAGGACATAAATCTTGTAAAAAAAAATTGGGATATTTTCATGTCATACATGAGAGGATTAAGCAACCTCTGAAATTTTAGAATATTTTAAGTCTTATTTTTTTCTTGCAACTATTCATAATTCTTATGAGGTTGTATTTGATATTATCTGTTAAGTATATGTTTGTGTCTAATATTGAGAAAAACCCCTATGCATTATTAGTTTAGTAGGTAGCATCTGATGTAATTTTGTTTTATGTACTCCACTATGGTTAGTTTCTCAGGGGAGATGATAGTTTATTTTTTTTTTCTTCACAGCAACACTATTAATGTGGTAGGTTTTCAGAAATACTTACACCTGTGTTTGTTGGGGATGATCTAGACAGTGGATCAGAGATAGACAAAATTTTCCTGTAAAGAACCAGGTAGTACATATTTTTGGATTTGTGGGCTATCTAGTCTATTTTGCAACTCCTTGACTTTGCTGTTGTCCTGTAAAAGTCATTTAACCAGTACATAAGTGAATGGATGTTGCAAGTTCAGTCTGGGCCATAGTTTGCAGACCCCTATTTTATTTTTAATTTATGTATATTTTACATCATTGTTCATTTTTTTTTAAAGATTTATTTATTTATACAAGCACTGGGTACAGTCAGAAGTGCAGGAGGGTGAGAGAATTCACCAGAGCCGGGAACAGAACAGGCAGACGGACGGAGGACACTGCTGAGGGGAGCAGTGGGTGCAGCAGGAGAGGTCTGCGCGCCATGTGGGACCCTCGCCAGCGATCTAACCGGCGCTGCAGAGGCTGAGGCAGCTTTGCAGCCCAGCGCTCAACTGCTGTGCCACTGGGGAGGCCCATTGTTCATTTTTAAACAGTTTGCTTCCCCCCACCCCTACCCCCACCCCCAATCAGTGTAGTCCCCATAGAATTTCCTCCACCAGTTCACCCGTGCACCATCACCTCAGTCCCCTGTGCTCCCCCCACCCCCATCCTTACATGATGTCTCTGGTCTATAATTGTTTGTTTTTGTTTGCTGTGTTTTGTATTGTTACTATTTTTCCCCTGATGTCTTATTTGGTTTTCCTATATTCCTCCTATAAGTGAAACCATCCAATATTTTTCTTTTTTCTTCTGACTTATTTCACTGAGCATAATTCCTTCTAGCTCCATCCATATTGCTTGCAAATGGCATGGGTTTATCTTTTTTGATTGCTGAATAATATTCCATTGTGTATATGTACCACACCTTGATCCAGTCATCTATTTTGGGCATTTGGGTTGTTTCCAGATTTTGCCTATTATAGTGTGGCAGGCCCCTATTTTTACTTTGTTTAAACTTCCAACTATTTTTGAAAACCTAGACATAGAATGAATTATATTTTAGATGTATTATTCATACATTTAACAAGTATTAGTGCCAGTTTAAGGGTTTGTATGCCTACCGCTATGCAAAGTACTAGGTAGAGTAGTAAACCAGACAGATATAACTCCTCTCCTCATGGAGTTCACATTGTAATGTGGAAACAGTCACTGACCAAGTATTAAAGTACATTAGATAAAGGATAACATTGAGTGGGCTCACAATGAAAAGTCCTGTTGTGAATCATTTTGTAAAACAGGTAATCCTTGTGTGTAGAAAATACTCTTCTTTATGAGTTCCATTTGTTAAAATTTGTCCTGCATGTTCCTGCAAAACTATTGGTATTGTATCTCCCGAAGGTAATTAAAGCACTTCTCTTGTTTGTGCCACTCATTTAAAATAAACTGGCATGTGCATAACTAAAATTATAGCAAGGCCTACTTCATAGCTTCTTAGTTGTATGTTTTCCTTTCAAATGTAATCAATGTTGGATTTTATTGTGTCTCAGCCTGATATGGTTATGTATAAAGTTTATTTTTGGTCTGTAGAGGTCTATTGTCTGAAGAGACAGTTCATCTACATTCAGAAACAAAGGTATGAAATCACACTTTTTGTGAATGCAATTGTATTCTGTAGAATTTAGGTGATTTTTATATACTTAGACAAAACAGAAAAGGGTGTGAGTTATGGAAATAGACTATAAACCTTAATACACAGAAGAAATGACTTAATGAAATATTGTTTGTAAAAGAAAATGAAAAATTTTTGTCTTTATTCACTGAAAAAATTTAGAGGTACATTGAAAAAAAATCTAAGTGAAATTTGTAACCTAAGGAATTTTAATTTTCTCTTTAAGTACAGATTTGCTATGTAGAAATCTGACTAAGAAAGGCACTCATACAAAGAAATTTATTCATTAATTTTAAATATTTAGAGTGTTAGATCACTGTTCCAGGTGCTGCTGGACTACTAGGATCTACAAGTTTTCCCATCTGTGAGAATCTAGGCTGAGGGACCAGTTTAAGTAAAAGCTTGTCTGGGGAATTATCAGCGCAAGTTAAGATACTATGAGTCAAACATCCAGTTTAATTTCCTCCGGCAAGATGAATATTCTTATCTATGGGACTCATTTTCTTTATCTTTGAATCTCTTAGTCATAGTGATATTTAGGTCTTTTCCAGGTATACAGTTCTGGGGTTCTTTAAAATACAATGATTAATTCTATGAGCATAGCAGTTCTTTTATGTAGAAAACTAGCAGTTCTGTGTGTTCAAAAGTGTGTCCTTTGGCAAATGATTAGAATCTAATCAATATTTTAAATTTTTCTCATGAAGTCAAAGACCAAAAAAAAACACTCATCTAGTAAATAAGGTTCAAAACAAACTACACTCTGCAAATAAAGGAAGGAAAACAAATTCAAGGTACAGTACACTTTTAAAAGTATTACTTTCATTTTTAGTTGTATAATTCACAGTATCATCATTAACTACCGAACCTATTTATCCAAATCTTTTTAAACCCCAAATCATAAAACTATACTGTATATATTTTACTAACATTCAATAATTTAAAATATTTTCTACTCAGAAGTGTCGTATTGTAGTTAATGAACATTTTTTTGTTTTAAAGCAAAATTGCCAATATTTGAAATTTTTTAAATGTTATTAGTGAGATGTTTCTTAGAACTAAGACCATTACTTAGGTATCTTTCTCTGCCTAATTTTCTCAAATAGATTAAATTGTCTTTTACTTTTTGAGTTTATAACAGAGTGCCATACATTATTGAGTCTATTTAGATACAGATGATTATTTGACCTGCTCAAAATAAAGACTACAGTACCATTATAATTTATTTTCCATTGTTTCTTGGTGAAAAATAAGGCATAAAAAGGGGACCCAAGAGGTTCTCGAGTATAGATTTTCCAGAAAAGGAAGGTCACACTTGCAGTGGGTAATGCCAGCCAGTTTCTTATTCACAGTAAGTTATTAGATTTGTAGGCCTACCACTTATCCAAATAAATAATTACACACAGGGGACCTCCCTGGTGCACAAGGGCTTAAGGCACAGCACTGTGAAGCTGTCCACAGCCACTGCAGCTTGAGTTCAATCCCTACCCAGGGAGATACCCACATGGCGCAGCAGACCTCTCTGACTCACCTGCTCTCCCTCAGCAATGTATTCAATCAATCTGCCTGTTCTGTTCCTACTGTCTCTGGTGAATCCTCTCCCACATCTCTGGCCTGTACCCCAGTTCTTTTTTTCTTTTAAGTTTTTTTTTAAGATTTATTATACAAGAACTAGGATATAGGCCAGGTGCGTGGGAGGGTCAGAGGATTCACCAGAGACAGCAGGAACAGAACAGCAGACTGAACAAAAACACTAAGGGGAACAGCGGCACGACAGGAGAGGTCTGCTGCGCCATGTGGACCCTCACCGGCCGGCAGGATCGAACTGGTGCTGCAGAGGCTGCAGACAGCTTCACAGTGTGTGCCAACCGCCTGTGCCACCGGGGGAGGCCCTGTACCCCAGTTCTTGTAGCATAAATAAATAAATCTTTTAAAAAAATTAAAAGACTTTTAGAACCATAAACTTGATGTATTAGGCATCACCCACTTTTCAGTGCCTTAGAAGTGACTTGTATTTCATATTTCTTCCATTAACATTAAACAATAAAAATTCAACTTTTTGTTAGCTTTCATCCTGGTTAGAATATATTTCTTTAAGTAGAAAAAATTTTTTGCTATTGAGCTAATAACTTTTGACTCTAATCTTTTTCAAGAGTTCACTTTTTGCACAATTATGGCTAGATACCATTTTGTACAATTTTTCTCCAGTAGCAGGTATAATTAAAGCCAA